TTATCTGTTGCTGCTAGATTTCATATTTGATAAATTTATGCAATGATAAATTTTCACCAACTGAATTTGATGAAAGATGGAAGAGAAGGGAAGATGTAGTTACTGCTATATGTTGTATGCTTTATCTGTCAGTAAAATTATTAGCAGAATTTTGTCATCTTCAAACACCTGAAGAAGGTCACTATTCTGTAAGTCGTTTGGCAGATGACTCGCTTCGATTAAGCCCGCGTAGACTGGAAGACGGTGAGCATCGACCATATATTGGAGGAGTCCAACTGCATATACTGTTGATGTTCGGCTATTTCGTTTATGTACCGTTTATATTCCGTTTATATACTGTTTATATATAGAATATTGAAAAATATACTGCATATATATACAACATATACAATATATAAATATCACATATATAGTAATGAAAACAACTATAGTGTTGCAGCCCGGTATACTGTAAGTATATCATTCTTGCACATATACATAACATAATCGTGTTATATAGTGTTCGTTCCTTGCTCTCTCATCCCCAGTAGCCCTCTTTCTCTCTCCTCTAGTGACCCTAAATTAGCCGATCAATGGCTCAAGACCACACCCCACTAATCTCTGCCCTTAGCCGTATCCATCTCGTCCAACTCGTATTGTTGCACGTTGGTTGTAATAATCGAATTTTTGCCGCTGATGCCAATAGATCGAGTTCCCACCTCGGTTGAAGCCCTCCATGCTGCAAACAAAGAAAAAAAAAAGTCAAAAACTGAAGAATGGAGTGTGAGAAAGAAGATGATTGATTGAGATAAGAGAGAACCAAGGGTGATGGAAAGTTGGGAAGGATATTTACATCCCAAAAAAATATGTCGTTATCATCTCATAACTTACCATATCATAAAAATACTTAACAAAAGAAATAATTAAATATTGAATAGTGTGATATATATGCAAATACTTTTAGCATTTAATTCATATCTACAAATAAAAAAAAAAAAAATCTAGTAGATTTGCAAATAATTTATGATTTGATGGTACGTGGCATAATTTTCTCTTTATTTTTAGTACACTATATTGACCATTTTTCGATAAAGGTCCATCATATAGGGGGTTATCGAGAATGGTCCACTAAATTTCCCTTTATTCAAAATTCGTACAATAACCAACATAGTGTACTAAAAACGACAACTAAAAATGAGCACTTTTAGTACACTATGTTGGTTATTTTATGAATTTTGATTAAAGTGACAATTTAGTGGATCATTTTTAATGACACCCTATATGATGGATATTTTTCGAAAAATAGCCTACATAGTAGATCATTTTTAAAATTTTTACATATTTTTTGAAAAAAAGTGATGTGATTGATATTTCAATATTATGAGCAACTAATCCTCTAGCTAGGGTTAAGGAATAATCATTCCGGTTTGTTCTCGTTTACGTGCATGTCGATAGCTCAATCTTGACGAGTTGTTTTAATTATGAATTAATAAAATCATACTTGATAAATGGTTATAACCTAAAAGTGACACTTAGGTTAACTTATTGATATAATCAAAGAGCGACACTTTGATTTGTGAGTGAATATTGATTTGTTGAGTTAGAGTTTGTTAATTCTACGAATTGCGACTTTTAGAACCGAAAGGGGAGGAGTCGTAGAGATAATCGATTTCAAAACCGAGAGGGGAGAAATTGGTGGAATTTGGCTCGTTTAGAGTAGACATGTTCGGAGACGTATTGTCTATGTGTTAATTGGTTCGTTAATTTGCTCTTTTATGTTTAATCTCATATTACGAGAGTTAATGAGGTTAAACCGCTAAATGAGTTAGTTAGTCGAACCACTTAACCGAGTTATTAATTGCCGTTAAATGTGTATAGAACCGGAAACGATTATTCCCGATACCCTAGCTCGTTTATCTTTTTATCGTTTATATTTTTAGATAAATTTATATTTGATACGGCCATGAGAATGGGGTTCATAAAGGACCGGTCTTAGGCCGCACTTTGTATCAGCTGGGCGTGGCTCAACTGGCCAGGCGGAGGTTAGCTTAGGCGGAGTGCCTAAGGTAAATGCCTAGGTACTTCGTCACCTAGGCACCTCGTCGCCTGGGCACCTCATCATCAGCTGGGCGTGGCTCAACTGGCCAGGCGGAGGTTAGCTTAGGCGGGGTGCCTAAGGTAATCGCCTAGGTACCTCGTCACTTAGGCACCTCGTCACCTAGGCACCTCGTCACCTAGGCAGCTCGACAGGAGGATTCCGTTGAGGGGACTAGGACCTGGGGGTGGCGTCGTGTTTACCAAATTACGAGGAGGTTCACAGCAACTAGGATTCTTATGATCTAAGAAGATCTAACCAAATCTAGGGTTAGATGTTAGGAAGACTTCCAGAACAACCAGGACTCTTCATGGCTTCACCTATAAAAAGGAGCAGGTTCATTCATTCTACACAGCACACATACACATATTATCTCGTTACTCTGTCGTTTTCTCTCCGAAACACCACCACTGACTTGAGCGTCGGAGTGTCCACGCCGGGACCACCCCCGGCGTGTTTTGCAGGTACCGGCGATCGAGAAGGTTTAATTCGGTTCAAGAGGAGCAGTCGAGCGGTTCAGGTATTTGTGGTATAACAATATTTCTTGTTATTTCTTAGTTGATATTAAAAAACCAATCCTATATTGATTAGAGTGTTTAGGATTTTATTTTTCTTTTATGTGTTATCAATTCCATTTCTAAATTCCGAACCGTCTTCCTCGAGAGATCGACCCGAGAAACGAATCATTCGATTCGGCGCTCGGTAAAAAAAAAATAATAATTTGCTACAATTGGCGCCGTTGCCGGGGAAGGCAAGTAGGATATTTGGTTTTGGTGTTGATCTTATATTCCATATTTCTCTTGTTCTTGTGATATTTGCTTAATTTAAGTGTTTCTCTCGATTTTCTTATTTCCCATTTCTCTTGTTTTTGGTATATTTTTGAAAAATCAGAAAATAAATATTATATATATATATATATATATATATATATATATATATATATTCCGTGGCTACGCGTGGTTGTTCTGTTCTTGTGTGCAGGGATTTTGAACAGAAGAATCAATGAACCCGAGCAACATGTTCCCCTCCTCGCAAATCCTTTACTAGAATAATGGGCCGAGCTACGGTTCGTGGGAGTATGGCCAGGCATGTGCCTCTCCGTACGAGCAATCGTCGTATCCGTTACCTTTCAAGCAATCATATGAGTTCCCCGTGGACTCCTCGGATGACAATGCTAAGCTCGATTTGGTTCTCGATTTTATGACCACCCAAGCAGCCCGAACGAAAAATCTTGAGACCGAAATCGAGAACCTAGCGGAACGCATTCGAGTCTTGGAGAATCGAGTTTACAATTCTTCCCTCGGTTCTCTCATGCTTAATGACCACCCAATTGCTCATCCCCACCTTGATCGAGTTCCCACCGCTCTCGGTTGAAGCCCTCCATCCTGCAAACAAAGAAAAAAAAAAGTCAAAAACTGAAGAATGGAGTGTGAGAAAGAAGATGATTGATTGAGATGAGAGAGAACCAAGGGTGATGGAAAGTTGGGAAGGATATTTACATCGCAAAAAAATATGTCGTTATCATCTCATAACTTACCATGTCATAAAAAAATACTTAACGAAAGAAATAATTAAATATTGAATAGTGTGATATATATGCAAATACTTTTAGCATTTAATTCATATCTACAAATAAAAAAAAATCTAGTAGATTTGCAAATAATTTATGATTTGACGGTACGTGGCATAATTTTCTCTTTATTTTTAGTACACTATATTGACCATTTTTCGATAAAGGTCCATCATATAGGGGGTTATCGAGAATGGTCTACTAAATTTCCCTTTACTCAAAATTCGTACAACAACCAACATAGTATACTAAAAACGACAACTAAAAATGAGCACTTTTAGTACACTATGTTGGTTATTTTATGAATTTTGATTAAAGTGACAATTTAGTGGATCATTTTTAATGACACCCTATATAATGGATATTTTTCGAAAAATAGCCTACATAGTAGATCATTTTTAAAATTTTTACATATTTTTTGAGTAACGTTCTTGAAAACCGTTGGTGCTATAAGTGATGAAATGTAATGAGGAATTCTATGGTGCCCAATGAGGCACCATAAGACATGACATAGATCTGATGTGGCATCCTTAGAATCCTATATGTAGATATACGTGGCAATAACCTTGCAAATGAAATAGAAAAAGAAAAAAAATGTAACACAAGGTAAAAATACAGATATGCTATGGGGTAATTTTTAAAATTGAATTAGAACATCAATATAAAGATTAAATATTCACAGATATTCTAGAGAGGTCGTCATCACAATATATATTTAAAAAAAATCTAAAAGCATGAATCTGAACAAGATTAAGTTGTTTTACTTTTTTAAAAATCACAAGCTCGCACAATAATTTTACGATGAAATCCCTGTTGTTCTTAGTAACCAAGAAATCACCATAGTTTTTAATAATTTTTTCCTTTATTTTTATTGTCTATCATCTGTGTCTTTTTTTTTTACACTTTTGTGCTTTCAGATTTTTTTCATTTTTATAATTATTATTATTATTACTATTAAGTAATATAATTTTAGTGTTTTTAGCATATCTATTTTATTGGTTTTCATTTTTTTCTTTTAGATTTATTTTTTTCAAAAGAGAAATTTGGATGACAGACCCTTCATCACCTTTGTACCGAATTTGTTCTATTTCTGATACTTCCGATTTTATTTTTATTTTTATTTTTGATAAATTTTATCTTTTCAAATTCATTGAAAAAGTACTGCATTTGGGTACTTACTTTCTATATTTTTCTTTATGCATTTTTTGTATAATTATTTGCCACGATGGACATTATAATTGGATGCCACCTCACATTTATGGCATGCTTTATGGTGTCCCAGTGGGCACCATAGAATTCCTGGTAATGTATATGCACGTGTTTTTGTTTCTTCAAGATTAGTACAAAGATGACAAATAATTATAAGACCAAATATTATTACACCAAGGATATTCTACCACAAGTAAGCCCATTCCATTTCAATTCATATGTTCCCGATCGGTTAATAAACGATGTATTACAGATGTTACAAAAGATAAATCATTAATATGATGAAGTAATTAAGTGCAGGAACAGCTTCACCTAGCTTAAAGACCAAATAAAATTCACAATTGTCACATATTCTTTTGTAGTCTAATATTAATTTGTTGTTGTTCTCCTTTAGATTGCGAGGAATGTTACTTGTGATCATTAGTGTTTTCTTGCTTCTCTCTCTGCCTGCAAAATTTTTAAATCAACAAAAATGAAATTTTCTTGTAATTATAATATAATCTATACATTTGTTTGTTTTAGCAGATTAATTTTATGGTATGTTACCGCCTTGACGACTCTTTCAAATGCTTCGTTGCCATATTTCTGAATGTATCTCTCAACAGATTTTCTTGCATCAAGGCTCATCATTTGTAGAACCTTCCTCTGACCTTCTGGATAATTCGAGCCCACATTATTCCTTCCAACTTTCACATAAGTCCTCACGAAATTCTCGTATATGTAAGCTGCTCCATTGAAAATTGGCAACACCAGCCACAGGCAGAATAGAAGCTTCACGTATGGCCAGAAAGGAAGCCTGATTGATTGTTGGCACATAAAAATAAGAATTGTTTCATTCTTTTAATTTGGGTTTGAAAAAAATTGGACAAAGAATATTTAATTAATTAATTACCATTGAAGAACTTTCCAACAAGAGAGCTCGAAAAGGGTTATGAAAGAGTAGAGAACCCAATAAGTCAGCCATTGTTGATCATCAAGGGTTGAAGGGCTCTCAATTGCCCTCATCGACGCGTAACTGTTAATCAGATGTTTTTTTTTTTTAAAAAAAAAATGTATAAATAAATAGAATTGAAATGTTGATTAACTGAAGAATGAAAATGACTTACAGGGGATATAAAAGCATCACGCCTGGTCTGCTCAACACGTTCAAAAAACAAAGTTACAGTTAGGTACATTTTTTCCCACTCACGAAGACAAAAGCAATAAATTATGAGTAAGGAAAAAAAAAAAGGAAAAATAAATAGGCATACCCAACGAGTGCATCCAAATGTCTTGCAATGGCACCAAGAACACCCATGTCGGAGCTGATTTTCTTATAATTTTTTAATTTGGGTAAATTTGAAGTGTTTGATTATATGAATTAAGGACTAATTTGTTGGGCTTGCAAATGAATCAAGTCTTTATAAGCTATGCAATTAAGTATTTAATGGCTACAAGTAAAGAATATCTTTATAGAAGAACGTAAGGCTTCTTTTCTTGCCCCAAAACGACCAACAACTTAAAAGTTGATTAAAAATTACCAGTTGAGTCAACATTAGGACCACAAGTTCCTTTTTGTTTTAGGTGTGTGTGTGTGTTCCTGAAAATAAGAAATAGGATGCCTTCTTTTTATGGAAGGAGGCTGATTATGCTCCACACGTGACCACGACGAATGAGAAGATTAATTTCTATCTTATTTTTTTATTTTTCCCTTTCACTCCACTGCGGAAAAGGTAAATCTAAAGTAGAAACCATGAATGTTATGATTCCTTAATTGTTTTACTGAGTTTACGATGTATAAGTTGTGTAATCATTACAAGTAGCACATAGCTGAGTGGCTTAT